TCCATCGAAGAAACAAAGTAAAATCAAACATATACACCCGTATTGCACGTGATCAAGAACTTAACCGTAGGAGACGCTACAGGGCCGTATCAAGCTATTGTGACTGATCTATCAAAAAATGTCGTACAAGATATGTGTTGCTGTAAATTCTATCAAAAGCATAGTAAATTATCAGGAATATACCACGCCTTTCTAATCATATTTCGACATTAGGAATCAGTGCAAAAAATTCTGTAATCACCATTTCAGCAAAATGTTACTAAAACGCACACGAAAAAAACTTGTGGACCATCTCAATTCAAATTGATCATATTTTATTATTAACTTACATATATACCCAATAATATTTACAAATCAACCTTCTAATCACAATGCAGAGCAAATTTTTTTGAGCAAATAGAAACTACAGACGTAGTAGTAGTAGTACAAAAGTTTATTACAGACTCCATAAAGTTTGTTAGTTTGATTGATATTAAAATTTACATGAGAAATAGGAAGAAGGTCAAAATGGCACTATTATGCTTTGAAACTCCTAAATTAACCCTAATTTTGTGTAATTATAAATTTCCACATTAATAACTAGAAACTTACACTTTGATTGCAGTCTATAATGAACTTACCTGTCTTGCCAAAAAGCCCGTTAAACTGCCAGTCTTAATGGTATCAATCGATTTATATGCTGTATTCCGAGGAGCTTGAATCATCAGAATTGTTGATGTCAATTATAAGGGGTTCAACTTGGGTGTCAATGATATTGTCCATATCCCACATTTTGGTTTCAACCTTCTCTTGGACATGGTCAATACATGTTCTCCATTTTGCTGGCGTAATTCTATCGACAGCAACATCAAACAGTTTTTTAAGGTCAGAAAACTTAAAAGTGCTGTTATTTGACGCCACGTATTGCTTGATGTCGGCCCAAATCAACTCGATAGGATTCAGTTCGCAGTGATAGGGAGGCAGCCTGAGAATCGTTTTATTTTGGTTTTTGGCCATTTCGTCAACAATTTTTAAATCATATTTATACTTATGTCGCTTGACTATATTTATCAGCTCAGCTTTGACCATTGTTTGGTCGAAGTCGATCTTCTTTGAGACAAGCCACTGTTGAATGTCTGCCTTTTTGGTGGCCGTTGTTGGAATTTTTTCCAATTTTCTGGAGTGGTACGGGGCATTATCCATCACAATAATTGCGTTATCATCAAGTGTCGGCAAAATTTTTTTGAACCAATTTTCAAATGAGTTACCATCCATTTCTTCGTGATAGTCTTCAGTTTTTTTGGATTCAAATGCCCACAATGCTTCAGGAACAAATCCATCTACGCTACCTATGTGGCAAATGATCAGGCGTTTTCCCTTGCCTGAAAGTAATTAGTTATTTTACTTCTCAGCGAGCGCACTAAATGACGAAATTAAGCAACTTACTCTTTTTAGGTTAGTGTAGGATAGGGTCTTAGATTAGTTTTTGGGTGAAGGAAATACTCAGAAACTTGGATGAGATAGCAAAACTGAGTTCGGAGCTTCCAAATCATTGATTCGATCAGAAAATGAATTATCTGCATCCAAAAAAGTTCATATACTTCGAAACTTACCTGCAGGATTTTTCAATCCCGTCGAAAGGCCATCTAAAAAAGCCTGCCTTGAGGACCTCACAGATCTGTCTACCCAAACCTTTCCCTGCGTATGCCCCGCGTTCACTCATGTTTCGTCTAAATAATAAATTTTTCTTCCTTCAGCGCGGAATTGCCTAATTTTTCTAAGGTATTCTCTCCTCCAGATAACAATTTCCTCCTTTTCTACCAGTAAACTATTCCTTCCTCTTTTCAAAAATCGAAAGTCTAGTTCTTTCAACAGCTTATGGAACGTAGATCTTTTAAAATTTGGCAGGTCCTCATCATCATTCACTTGCTTCAATATTTTATCTATTGTAGGTATTTCATTCCTGAAGAAAAAGTGATGTACTTTTCTTCTAATGGCACTTTTGTCAAAGTCATCTATTTTTTCGATGATTTTTTTTCTCGCTGGATATGTTTTTGGCTCAGATAGTGAGTGATTTTGTCTAAATTCCTTCAAGATTTTGTAAACACTTGATCGACCTACTCCAGAAATTTCAGCAACCTTACATACGATATTTTCTATAGCCAATCCACTATTCTCTTGCATCTGGTTCTTGTAGATATTTAGAATAATTTGTTTTTCACCTGCGCTAAGATGAAGCTTTTTAGCCCTTTTTCTGGGTGACGTTAAGCTGATTTCAACCACTTCATCAGCTGTATCTGTGTCAGACATTTTAGACTAATATTAAATTTCCGCAAGAAAAATCAAGTCAAGACGTGCATAAAACGTTCGCGCTCATAAACGGGTATCCGTAACTGATTACAATCCTGTGCGTGGTGACGAACCATCAACGTGACGCTGAGAGTTCCCTCTACTATGCAGCGTTGCCAGGCTTAATGTCACAATGATCATGTTTTATTGGGAAAATTTTCAGAAATCGCCGAATGTTGAACAGAAACATTACAAGAAGTCTAACCTTGAAATGTGAGGCTACAAGTCGGTAATATCATATATGGCATACATTCGGTTGAAGGTGTGTGCACGGAAAATAGATTGCGGATAGGATTTTAATAGATAAATCTGCACAAAAAAACACAAAAGGAGATTTTTGTATTTCCCTGAAGAATATCTCAAGGTTATTTCAGATGTACTCATCGAAACTTTATGGAAGGATTATCGAAACCTTATTTTCAATTGCGATAGGGCCACATACCTCGACATCGCATTAATGTGAAAAATAAGACAATAGAAAAAAAATCCCTCACTGATGCTATCTCTTAGGAAAAATTTAACTATAAAGATTGCACAAAAATTTTCTTCACCTTTTTGAGCTTGTTTTCGCATCTCCGTATATGCCGTTCATAATTTGCTGCAGATCAAATTGGAATATACCTTTGTGATGCCATTTATTGTTATATAATGTCCTTTACAACAGTTATTGCACGTATTGCACCAACAGATTGATTTGTGATCCATGCGAATGAGATCAACCACTCTGGCGAAAACTCGCCGAGCGTGGCAACCGTGCGACTTTGTCTGGAGGCTCGTCGCTACAAGCCAATCAGGAAGAGGCCGACAGAGCACCATGGCTACCGATCACGCGTTGATCACAAATCAACCACTGTTTACGATTACTTTGTAGCTTCGTTAGATACACTTTAGAAACGTTGCTGCCCTTAACTCAGGTCAAGTGTTATTTTTGTTTCTCCAGTTACGAAGTAGCACTTCATATATTTGTTACATATTTTATCAGTTTCAAATAGTACCAAAAACCACTGATTTTGGCAAGGTGTACGTTAGTTACCCACATCGAGGAATACTACTAATAGTTACAACTGATTTAATGGCATCCTTCAGCGTATCAGTAAATTTCTCAAGGAGCTAAGTAAAGTTTGGCTTCTAGTGATATTCCACGTTCCATCCTTGTTTTTCTTTAGATTACACTCATATCTAGATGTGATGGGTAAACGTTTTCACTCCAGTGTTTTCACATCCATTTGGGTCTGATCGGGTTACCAATTGTATTTTTGCTCCTAGTCTTTGTTGCAGACGTGGCCACGTTGAGCTTTTTTTTAAACAATTCCTGTAGTCTCACTGTGAGTTGCCAAAAACCGTGAGAAGACCTACAAAACTTGTTTTGACATAGCCTTAGTAACATATTACATTTAGAAAATCATGTACTTCCTGATATACTTCGCAGCGTTATAAAATGCATGCCTCTGATATATATTTTTTGGTGGACGCTATGGGTTTACACTTGCAACATAAATGCAATAAGATCCTGAAGTTTTACTTGTATTTACTTGTATTGAATTTGAATAGGTAAGTAGGAGCCAAGCATATTGTGTTTACATTGCACCGTTTGTCGTCAAATTTGCGTAGCTTTATAGTCAAATACCAGAATTGATGACAGTAGCAGAAGTCATCGTGCGCCACTGCTTTGACGTGGTACCTTTTGACTACAGCGACGTTTGCCAAGATTTCCCTCCGTGTAATAGCAGTGTCGTACGATGGGTTTCGCTACTGTCATCAATTTTGGTATTTTACTATAGTGCACACTTTTGTCTGACAATGCCTACCAAGGTGACAGCGTTGTACCCTCAAATAATAATATACCGATAGAAACTTCTACCTTCATTAGACTTTTGCCACTTTTTGCAAATTATGCATTATGTCTTGAAATCATCTAGCAATACAATAAAAATGCAAATTGATGACAGAACAGTCAAAAAAGTTACTTATATTACGTGCACTCTGATACTCACTACAGACTATGAGCATTGAAAGGCAAACGTATATTTGACTAACACCTTATACCAGCCTGAATTCGTTGGATATACCTGAAATGCCTTCATCCAATATGGGTGACCTTACTCAATAATGTCGCTTTTCTAATTAACGAAGTTTTCGGTCAGCTTTGGTATGCAGCAAACCCTAGCTTCTCCCTCCCCAAGAATCCTTAGAGACGGGCGGCCGACTCATTTCCGGCTTCTAAATGTCTCTTGAGGGGGATGAATTTTCGTCTTCTTTCCACAGCATTAACGCGGATTTTCCAAAGGAATCGGACTATGCTCTCTTACCGCAACATTATGGCTACTCCCCATTAATGATCTCATTTCCCGCACAATAGCTTTGATTCACTGTTTCGTAGATTACAGTTTTGCCAGTAGACATTCAGACAAGACGAAGCTGTGCAGCTAACTTGATACAGACCGAATGTTTGAGTACCTGTACTGTACTGAGAAATGTGTCGTGTTGTAGCTGTAGTTCCGATAACTGTTGAAGTCGTTTGAATTAACAAGGAATTTATTCCTTAATTGGAAAAAACATATTTCAAACAATCCGTGGCAGTCTCAACAACCTAGAAACGACAGTGATTGACATAGCGATGACAAGATTTTTGGTGGGGTCTCAGCAGCGGCTCTGAAATACCATAATAGCTAATGTTGTCGTTACCCAATCATCAACCATTGACGGATTCTCTAGTCGATGCTTCTAAGGAGCTACATATCAAAAACATGGGAAGTAATCAGGTTTCAGAACTCGGTGTAAGGTTTGTTCGATGACTGTGTCTGGGATCCGTCCGTGTGACTTCCGACTATTTAGCAGAGTAAACAGAATTTATGTGACGGGATCTTGGGGACGGACACTGGCAGATTGGCGACTGATATACGAACAGGACTGTACTCGAGCAATTCCTTTATCTCTCAGTAAATGCGGCAACACAACTAAGTACCACTTTTACCTAAAATATGACAAGTAGAAGTTGAAAATTGAAAGCAGACACTATTTCCAACAAAAAGTCACAAATTGAATCCGCTCATTTGAATTAGATATTAAAACTACCATTTAGTGTGAGATTATTGTTTAGCCTACATTGGCTGACTATTTGTAGAGAATCAAACGCCCTCATACTAATGCTCGATACCATTTTGGATTGCTGAGAATACAGGTAAGTTTTTCTAGTAATCTTTAGGCGCAATATACCAGCAATTTTTCGAGATAAACACTACCTTGTTCTAAGGAAAACTGAAATGGAATGCTATACTATTCTTTAGAAGAATGTGATTTTATTTTGTAACAGTATTTTCGCAATTTTCACAAGTTTTTATATTCTTTAATTTGACCTGTATTTTAGTATCTGTATACTGAATGACAAAAAAAGGTAAACACCTATGTATGTTTATCCGATTTTAATAATTTTTAGCATATATGTTCAGTGCCCTTTCTAGTGAAATGATTAAATTTTCAGCTTGATTCGTCAACTGACTACAGAAGCTGGTTCAATAATGTGTTCAGGATCCACGATTTCTTATACACTCATTGCCACGCCCGTCCATCGTGCTGATAAGGTGGTCGGTGTCCTGTTGGAGTATCTCATTCCAGGCTACTGCATTATCGTGAGTAAGAGCTGCTAAGGTATGTAGAGGGTGTTACAAATTCAAGAACCTGCGACCTATCATGTCCCAGACATGTTCAATTGCAGATATATCAGGCGATCGTGGTGGCCAAGGTAAAGGTTGATACGATGTTGATCCATGAAGGCTAACGATGCTCTGGCAACATATGAGAGGTAGCATCCAATGTAGGCGATAGGAAAAACCATCCTTCCATGCTCTTCAAACCACTGATTAGCGATGGCTCGAATACTACTGGATCTGTATCTCAGAGCTAGAAGTCTTAACCGGCGGTCTTGTCGCTCTGTGGTCCCTCTGGGACGTCCAGATCCCCTTGCTCGCTGTCGTCGGCCTTCCTGAGTCCACGCTTGTTGACACTGCAGTATAATTCGTAAGGATCTATTGATTCTCCTAGAAACTTCTCTGATCGTTATTCCGGCTTCACGCAACCCGACAATTCGACCCCTCTCAAAGTAACTTAGGTGGGACACCTGGCAAGTTCTAAGCATTCTAGGCATTTTGAGCAATCACAAAAAGGCTTCTCAATAAGCTACACGAAATTAAACATTTAACTGACACCGTAAATGTACGAAAAAGCTTCTTTATCACCAAACAATACATTCAGCCACCACAAGAAATTAACAGAAAAACCTGACCATTTTATCACTTGTTGTTCATGGCAAGATAAATCGATATGAAAAAATCCTTGAATTCTAATAAACATACATAAGTGTTCCCTTTTTTTTGTCATTCAGTATATATTAGTATGTGTGTGGGATAAATATTGGAACTGTATTTTAAACCAGTTAACCTTAATCTAGCTGAAATTTCGTATATACGTCTCGTCTGGTTTCCGTGACAATACAAAGTAAGTTAATGGCCGCCATTTTGAATCCAATAGGGCGGATGCTACAAAATGGCGATATATCATTTCCATAGCGTTTCCTATGATGGACATCAAATGAAGGAGCTTGATGAGTGAAACACAATAGCCGTAGTCATATAATATGACGGTCCCGGAAAATGACGATTCACATTTTACACAGCCATCCTTATGATATGATTATCAAATATCGACGAGTGAAACGTAATAAGCAAAGTGACGTCATTCTGAATCCAATATGGCGATTGCCTCAAAATTGTGTTTATATTTATTATATTCACCCTTATCATATAGGTATCAAAATAAAGTGTTTTATGACGGAAACATAACAAGCAACGTGATGTCATTCTGAATCCAATATGGTGGCTACTGCAAAATAGTGATTTATAGTTTCCACAGTTACCTCTTCACTATGGGTATCAAATGAAGCGACAAAAACAGCCGGAGAAACATAGCAGGCAAATAACGCCATCCTAAATTCTATCTACCGAAGTGTTATAATACAAATAAACTAAGAAGTTTTATGTTGTCCTATTAATAAAATATTTGAAAGTTATATAGAAATTATAAAACTTGCTATTTGACATAATAGATACTAGAAAGTATAAAGACAATTCAAATAAGAATATACATTTTTAAAAACAAACTTCTATTTAGCTATTCATAAAATGAGCTGAAAATTCAATCAACATTTCGCGACTGAAAATATTCGTACGATAATGTTTATCGTTTAAATATTTTAGATCGGAAAACATTCAGAAGCTTTCGATACAATTAACTACGAACTCTTATTGTCAAAATTGAATTGTTTAGAGCTGTGAGTCTTTTCGGACCTATTTAATTTGTAAACGTTCAAAAGTCTCATAATCACTTGTGCTTATGAAATCTGGCATACCACAAGGTTCTGTTTTAGGGCCACAACTATTCACATTATACATCAGCTCAAATTAGGCCACCGTTGCTCAGAATTGTAAAATAATGGCCTACGCCACCGTATCAATCATTTCACCCAAGTAGTCATTAAAACACTACCTCCCTACAAGGATCTAGGGGTAATTTATAATTATGCAAAAGACAATGATCTTAAATTGAACACTGGAAAGAACCGATTTTATTTGGCCCAAAAAGGAAATCCATTTATTTAAGGTAAACTTGCAAGTCTGTATTAACAAATCACAGATGAAATTTTCTGACCGTGTAAAAAACCTTGGGGTGTTCTTTAATTAAGTTTCCGAACCAGCGTTGCTCTCATAGCTAAAAACTGCTATTTATCATTTACTGTATGCCAGCAAAAACATTTTGACCATATTTGTCAAGAAAATTTTATGTAAAGGCTATTTTTAAAGCTCTTTATTGTATGTCATTCTATTATCCCCGCCTAGACCAATATACAGCTAAACGTTTGCAGAAAATCCAAAATTACTATTGGCGTCTGATAAACAACCTAACAAGACATGATCACACGTCAGGCCATATCATTGATACGAACTGGCTAAGTATTAAAGACCTATTCATATATTTCTTGCTTACAATTGTACGTAAAACAATGCTGAATAAGAAACATTTACACTTGTACAGAAAAGTCATTCCTCGACATAATATAATCCACCCCACCAGAATTACTAGTTTTCCAGATATGTTCACTCCTTACACAATTCTCCACCACGACATAAAAAATATCTGAAGAGGTTTAAACTAAATTTGAAGTTGCATTTTCTGCATATGTAATTGTGATGGCTTCTAGTATTGAACTTTTACATTGCTCTATTTCAGCATTTTGCATATTTATGTATATTACAAGAGCTAAGTAGACGAATAGCAAAGGATAAACTTCCCTCACTTATAATGTAGCGTTATAAATAAGGCCGTTTAGTATTATCAACATTATTATTATTTATTTTAAAATCCTAGTTCATTGTATGAACAACTAAATAAAAGATGGTTCTTTAAATGTCTTCATTTCATCTATTTCATTACATTCATTTGATTTGAGTGCAAACTACGCAGTCTCATCTATATCTCACACAGTTTATTTATAACTTCGACTGAAGTGTCCAATTTCAGGTGATTGATCATCATCATCAGCTACAAAAACTAAAAAAACTGTTGGTCTATACAAAGTATCAAAAAACTTCCTTGAGGTAAGCTAAGCACCTAACCGAGCTCCACCTCAAATAATTTCAGCGATTAACGAACCATTTTGCCGGCTGAAGGTATAAAGGAGGTTAAATAACAATTTAATGCTTCCAGGAAAGTTGCATCATGAAAAACTAAAAGGCTAGCCATGTATCCTATTATAATGTCGTTAAGATTTTTCAATATTCTAAAGCTCAGTGCTTATAAAAAGATGCCCACGGAGATGATTAATGATATCGGTAAATATGAAAGTCATAGCTGTATAAAAGGGAATATAGATGATGTGTGAGATAAATATAGAGCAAACTTTGGGGTGGAGCTGTATTATAAGGGCTTGGAGACGTTTCGCACGACTTGTTATCTGAAAGCTGTACTAAAACTGAAATCAGGTGGTAGGACGTAACTTTTCAAGCATAATTCGTCAGAATCCGTTAATGATTACAGCCTATAGTAGGAGACACAAAACTCGTGAGTTAGACAAAAAAGGGAGGCATCAATGAAAGATGACGGTTACGATTCCCAGGGTTGGCAGGTGGGTCAATATGAATCCCCCAATAAAATGGTCGCGTCGCTCATCTGTTAAAAGTATTTTTTTGGCGGGGGGCTAATAAAGGCTACCTCGAAACATACTCTTTTGACACCCCTCGACACCCTCCCATTGTAACGTTACCCAACACATTTTAATTCGCCACCGTGGCATGGAAAGAAAAACATATTAAATTGGGGAAAAATTGCGTCAAATAAGTTGACTCCCACTTCCCACTCTACATCAGTTCATAAAGGCACAAGATCTTGCTCATCCCACCGAGAGGAATTGCTGCAGATGCACATGATCGTTGCTATGACCAATCCCGCGTGAATAACAAAAATTGGCCTTACCATGCACACTGCACACAGCCTACAGCAGCGCAGAAGCGATTTGCGGACTGCAACATACGACTACCGACGATGACGCTTGTCTATCGGTGGACCACGTCGCACACATCGACTGTAGCACATATATTATTAGGTTTAAGGGTAAATGTACAGGGACATCTATGTTGAATGAAGTAGAATTACTGGGGTTGGAGGAGTATAGATATACCAACGTAAAAAAATTGAGATATACATTCCCCATCCCATACAACCCCAAACCTC